ATTTTGTATTGTCGTTTTTTTTTTTTTTTTCTTAAAACTTTTCATTCATTTACATAATTAGCAAATAAGATTGGCTGTATAAGGTATGGATATTGTAATGAGAAAAATGATCTTGCTATAGTATTCAATCTTATTCCCATTATATTAGTAATTACTCCTCGATTTCAGAGATCAATCAGAGATCAGAAAACAATAATTAGTGTCTTTACTAATCGGATCAATTCCAAATATAAGTCACAAAATAATTGTATATATTAGCAAAAACTTTTCCTTAGAAGAAAACTTTCGAATTAAATAATTAGTCACAAATGAATTCAATCAGTTTAGATTATTATATTCCAGTTTTTAGGTTCAATTTTAAGTAATTTCAGCAAAAATTAAAAAATTTGCTTACCTGAGATGGAATATTTTCACATTTCAAATTTTGTTATTGTGATCATGATTACTTTTGGTCAGTAATTGACCATTCCAAGTTTCTTTTTAAATGGTTAACAGCAATGAAATTTGCTATTGATTGAGGGGAATGACCTCTTCCACATTTCATAATTGTCAACTTTGCCGAGTCTTTCTTCCAATTCCTCTCAATTCTTTCATTTTAACTGATCAAATCTTTTATCTTTTGTATATGGAATATTTACAGAAATGAAATGTCTCTTGGAGACAATAAAAATCACATGCATGCATAATTGCCGATGTATTTGTCACAGAATATTGCTGTACAGAAATGAAAAGAATAGAAAATGAGAATGTCATGATGATTCAGGAAGTGACAACTAATTTATGTGACAGATTGTCATCATCATTAGAATTAATTCATTAGTTATCTTTTCTTGTTCAGCTGAATGAATAGTGTAAGTGAATTCTTTTAAACTTCATTACTTCCTCCATTATTTAAAAAATGATTGTTGAATGAACTTTTTGAAAATGAAAGAACTGTAGTAAATCTGATTGTTCTTGCAAATATTCAAAAAACTTAATTTTTGTTATACCATCTCAATACTGTAAATATTAGTTTTATCAGAACAAATTATTGGCAAATTATATTCCTATACTTTGGATTATTTGGCTTTAAATGATCCAAAGTTGTTCATGATTCATCCATTAGACAGATTCTAGACCACTATCTTCGTGATATTCATATAATGACGAATTGGGTGACAATCGTTTTGACATTGTTGATATGGTTCCTGTGATCGTTGTTCTACGTGGAAGATAGGTTAGAGCTGGAACTGAAGTACGATTCAATATCCTCGAACCGATCACTGTATTGCCATCGTTGACATTCGAATTTTCATTAATCCAAAATCGTTTTATGGTACATTTTTGATCCCACGGAATATCGTACCTGAAAATGTTACCTCTTTCTACAGTAGGCAAACAATTTCGGTCTACTATTAGAATCGGTTGTTTATGCTATCTGTCTTTGTCAATCGTGTAAAAATTTATAAATCGATCGATACCAACCTATCATCAACATTTTTAGCAGATTTGGCAAGTTGCTCCGAGTAAAGGTATGAATTAAGATGATTGGTAGGCTGGGATTGTTTCTGCAGTAATGATATGAAGTGACGTTGTTTGCTAACAACTAGGAGTAAGCAAATCAAGCCTAGTAGGCTTATCAATGATAAGCTTAGCAGAAATATTAATAAAGTCTGTTCTCCGAGGAAAATTTGCGCAAATTTCTCAACCAAATTCCTTCTAGTTGTAGCATCTTCTTCGATTGACTCATACTGCAATTTTTCATGATATTGTATTGATAAGTATTGAATTATGGATTATTTATCAAATCAATCAATTCCAATTTCAAATTCAAAACTATATTTCAGATTGTATTCTATTTAAAATTCTATTTTTCATTGATTTTTTTATTTCAAGATTTTAGATTTCATTCTTGAAGATTATAAAATGCTTTGGTCACCTCAGGTGCTGATTCGACAAGTGTCATATCATCCTTTGCTAAACACCATGGACAATATTTCGTATATTTTCGGGCGACAAATGAAGCATTGAAACATTTAGCTCGAATTTCAACAATAAGTTTACCATGTCGTTCATCTAATGATAATTCATCTTCTGATGCTAACGTTCGATAATTATTAAGTTCCTGGAAATTCTAAAGTTATTAAAAAAAAGAAAATTGGGCGATAGGTATCTGGAAATTATAAATTCCGGTTTCATTTGTCTATCAATCAGTGTCAATGATGACTGTCAAAGTTTCAATCAATTTTACTTTCAGGTTTTGAATTCAGGCTAAATTGTGCAATGCATAATCATTATTTGGTTTATAGGTTAGATATATTGGGCCAAATTTGATTCAAATAACTGTAAATATATTTGGAACAATGTTTGTTTGTTTTACTTTAGAGATCAATAATAAGTACTAATTAGGTTATGCAAATTGAAACCTGAATTTCATTATTTTCTCTGAATATTTCAATATTCTGTGTGGAATCACATGTTCGTGAGAATCCATATAATGGATCCATACCGATAACTTCACATTCAAGAGTGATTTCATGAGGTTTACCATATATCCAATGAGTGATGAATTTTCGAGAATGTTTCTAGAATGGCAGCATGAAATTAACACTAAACAGGTTTATTTACTTGTTTTTTTTCAATCGGATATCAAATATTTTCGCAACATTTATCTTAGTTTGTACTTCAGTTAGCGATGTCTCAAAAATGTTTGAATTTGTTCACTTTAGCTTCAAATCTCAATTTGAAATTCTAAACATTAAAGTGATGCCGATTATGATAGTTATGCTGATTATGATAGTGATGATGATAATGATAATGATGATAATGATGATGATGATAATGGTGATGGTAATGTTTCTTCTTTTTCTTTACAAAGTTTTTTGGAAGGATTTCTTAGTAAAAAAAAAAAGAAAAAGAAAAAATAACAGAAATGTAACAAAAATAAAAACCTGTGAATGACGATCATATCAGTATGTATGTGTGTGTGTGTGTGTGTGTATATATATATATGTATACTGTGTGTGTGAGTGTGTGCGTGTATGTGTGTGTGTGTGTGTATGTAAGTTTGCGTGGGTGTTTTTCTTCAAATGTAATAATTTTCAAAATGTGAATTTTTTTAAATTTGAAAAGTTAAAAATGAAAATGATATAGAGAAATACAATAGAAGTAACCTCAATAAAATTTTCCGTAATGCTCCAACTTACTGAAATAATTTCAGCATTAAATTTGTTTGATTTCGAGATTCTAAAACGTGGATTAGCACATCCGCCTGTTGTCAAACATGTTGGCTTCCAGTGTACTGTTTGAAGTTCCAATTCAATCCAGTAGTTGATATTATGTTCCATTTTAGAAAGTATCAAATGCAGTTGTAGTACTGTTATTATTGCCAAGCTAATTAACATTTGCATAATTGTTTTGGTCCTAAAAAAAGAAGAATACAAGTAGATTTGTGGATTAAGTTAGCATATTAGCAATTTAAAAAGGACAGTGAAAAGATTAATATTAAATAAATGTAGAGTTGGCTGACTAAAATATCTCAACATGGGATAAAAGTTCAATGATTTAATGCGGAATATTCGGCGCATAGTATATGTTTCAGAAGTGTAAACAAGGTGAAAAAATATTGTCACATTTATATCGACTAGTTCAAATTGTCAACAGATAATGTCAACTGTTTCTAGATGTTAGATGAAACAGGATGTTTTGTTTAAGAGATGAGAATTTTATCAAATTTTCAGTTGTAACAGTAACAAAATTAGTTGTAACTGAGCTGAATATCGCAAAAAAAAAAGATGAGATAACAGTAGTAATTGAAAATTTTGAAAATAAATTTAAAAATTCAAAGAATAATGGCTTTGAAGATGAGATATTTCGATAGTTTCAGATTACCTTTAAGAGTTTTTATCTGACCGATTGAAAAGGTAAAAGTACGGTAAGGATATGATATAGGGAAAGAAAATGATTCGTTAGATAAAAACTGGAAAGTTCTATTTCATAGAGTAGAATAAAAGTGCCGTAAATGTGATGGATGGGTATCGGATAGCTTTTGGCCTAATTGAGAAAAAAAAAAATTTCAAAATTTAGAAAAAGGGCGGAACTTTCCTCTGAAAATGAGGAAAAAACTTTTCGTCAACTTTTTATCAGAATGTGTTTCGTTTCGTGTTTCACTGATATTATCTCTTGTCACATACACATACAAACACACACACACACACATACACATTTACATACGCGCATATTTCATGCATTAATGCGCTTCGTTCTGTCAACAGCTTGTGTGGCATAATTAAAGGTAGGATTGGGTCATTCTGCAGTCATCTTTCAGGAAGCTATAATTCCGGATGAAGCTTATTCTGGAATATTTTCAAGAAGAATATGCCAAAGCCTTACAAAATCCAATAATCTTAATGAAAGAGAAAAAATTGTTAGATCTCTGAATTATTTCCTTTAGTTTTTGATTAATTTCATAAAATTTCTACTTATAATCGGAAATTCAAAAATTCTTTTACTGTTTAATTAGTACTAGACAAATTTTAAAATATTAGATAACCATTCCGGATTAGGATAACGATAATAGAATAGATTTTAATCTAAAATACACTTTGATAGGAAAGGTCAAAGTTTACATCTGTCAACTCTAAGTGACCAATCATAGGTTAACCTTATCTTGTCTTCATTTATTTGAATTGAAAAATTGAAATCAACAAGTGAAGATTAGTGTAAACTAATGCTAACCATTTCGTAAGTTGCCTGATGACTTGAATTATAAAATGGATCATGAAGAGGACATTATTCATTTGATCATTCCGTTCATCCTTATTCCTCTTTCTTTTTCCCTCTGGGACCATCAAACTCTAACCTCTCTTTGCTTTCTTCCGCATTTCATTTCAGGCTAATATGCTATGAAATGTATATTCAACCTAATAAGTAAAGGCTAACTGATAATGATCCCAGTTACTTCATCATTCTCTCTCTCTCTCTCTCTTCTCATCTTTAAGATTCTCATCAGTTAAAATTAATCATTGCCGTGTTATTCGAGTAACTCTGTCACTGATCCCAATGGAATAGATATTTGCGCATAATCAACGATTCATTTAACCCTTTACATCAATATTTGATTCTTGGCTACTTCTGCTATTTGATGAAATTTTCATCAGCACTAATAAGCTTTCAAAAAAAATTTAAAAAATATTAGCCAATTAATTTGTTTGGCTTATTTAGCCATTAACCAAAATCCCACTAATCATTACACGGTCAGTCTTAATAATAAGTAAGCGAGTACAAATTTTTGGAATTCAAATATTTGAAACAATCATTTTCTTGTTTTTTATCCATCATAAAAATAAAAATAAATTTTCTTTCGAATGAATGAATGAATGAAATCTCATTTCTATTAAAATCAACAAGAATTGATCAAAATTTCTTTTCAAATCTATCATTTTACTTTTACAATTTCAATTCATTTCAAAAATGTTTTTTTGAAAAATAAATTTTTTGCAAATATTTATTTTTTACAATTATTTAATCTTTTTTTCTCTTTTTTAATGGATATTTTTATTTATGCATAATTCATTCTTTATTAAAATAGTTAAAAGCTTGAAAAATTCTTCAAATAATTTTCCTATGATTTAATGAGCTAATTAAATGTTTCCAGAAAAATCCCCTCAAATTTCTTACCTTGAATTCACCTTATCTTACCTTACCTTCAAGCTTTCTGACAATGATCGATTCAGATTTCATCATTCTTGACAATGATTAATTCGAATTCATTCATGAAAATGAATTAAAGAAAAAAGAAATGAGACAAAATTGTGACTTAATATGATTGCAATTTATATTTATCACTATTAAAATGTAAAATTTTATTGTAAAATTTATTAGAACTATTTATCTTTTATCTTTGAAATTGACCATTTCAATTAAACTGACCGTTCCATACCAAAAACTAAAGAAAAACAAAAACTATACTTTAATCGTTGAGAGTCTGACAATTAAAGGTAAGATTTAGTGGCAAAGGTGAAAGGTCAAAATGTGATGTAAATTTCTCAAATGCATAACAAAATAAAATATGCTCCCGAAGGCTTTTACAAAGTTATTTTATTTAAAGGCCTAAGTAATATTACACTTATTCAATGAATGAATTATATGTGGTTAAATGAAATGGGAAGTATTTCGAGTTTATGCTTGATCAAGCAATAAACTAATGAATCAAAGCTAGGGACAATATTTTGATGGCTTAAATAGCATCTAAGCGGTCCATTTTTGGATACTCATTTGAGTCATGACGATAATTAGCTTTTAAAAGGTAAGCTTAGCAACCGGTGTTCTAGAAATCAGCAATTGTTATCCTTACTTTTACAACAACATTTGCTTCACTGCACTTCTGATGCACAGAAACTTATTAAAATTATAGAATTCCACATAATATGCAAATTAAAATAAATTCATTGCAGATGCTTATGTATGTGACAGTCAAAGGTCAATAAAGTTGTATTAGATAATTACTGATGACAATTAGAAAAAAAAAGTTGGTATTTATCGGCAATGCTTTTTTAGTTATTTACATAATAACACAATATAATACGATCAAAAGCCATCGTATGATTAATATTGCGCTTAATTAGATTGAGTACAGTAATTTTTCATGTCAGATTTGTGAATGCTAATAATTTTATGAAGTTTTAATACTTTCAATTAATTGTGCCACTAATTAAGTTCCAAATAAATAGCCTAGACATATTTGAATAGGAAAAAAAGCCAATTCAAAAATTGTCTAAACGAATAAATGCATTGACCTTACTGGTTCAATAATTTAAACTTTAGTTTACATTGAATAGAATGATAATTGTATTTAAGAATTTCTTAGATCATATCATTCTAATGATTACATTCAGAACATTCATGTTTAGGCTTAATTGCCTTTAATTGTAGCCAAACACCATTCATTGTTGGCCGTTCATTAACGTTTGTACTCCAACAACGCCTCATTAACCTTAATACCTTTGAAGGTAATTTGATATCACGCGTTTCTGTAATTTATACATTTTCTTAATTAGAATGAAATATGTTGAAAATATGAATTATTAAAGAAGGCCGATGGGGCTATCATTTTTTTCTTTTTTTTAAATCACTATTTTTTAACAATTTTATTTTTAAAATTTTAACTGATACTATTATTTATATATTGTTTCCATGAAGAAATAAAATTGAATGAATTTTACAGGTAAATTTGTATTACAAGAAAGAGATGGAAATGATTTTGATAAAAAAAATGATAAGCTATTAACCGGGTCTTATCCTATGTCCAGCTGATAGTTTAATGCGAATCTCTTCGGAATTCATTGTAAAATATGGCAAATTCCCGGTGAAAATTTCATAAAGTGTAATACCAAATGCAAATACATCAGTAGCTTCTGTTAGCTGTTCCGTTTTGAATACTTCTGGTGCAAGCCAACGAATATTTATCGGTTTTTGAGGATTTACTTTTTTAATTCTTAAAATTTATCTTTTCAAAATTTGATAAAAATATTAAAGAAATGCATTTTTCATTTATTTAATATAACATTAATGAACTTTTTAGAAAAAGATATGAAAACGAAAAGATTTAAATAACTTACTTTCCGATATGTGATTCACGAAAATCACCCAAGTAGTATTTGTAGCAGTGAAATGTATGACAGTTATTAACCTTTGAACTGGTAATCATTGTTTTTCTTACAAATATATTCCGAGCTCCAATATTACAATGCAGCAATCCGAGAAAGTGCATATCACCTAAGGCTCGTGCAATTATCTGCGCAATCTAAAAGAAATGTTTAAAACAGATTCATGTGACATTTAAACTAAGTTTGACAGATTTTTATCATAGAATAAAGATGTCGCAAAATAAACTTACTTCTGTTTTATCCATAAAAGTAAGATGTTGTCCCATTCGTTGCGCAAAATCCGGATAAGAGCCACAGTTCATGAATGGATAAATCATCATATATGGTGATTGAAAAATTTGTACAGATTGTACCGGTAATACAGAATCAACGGATATGAATCGTCGTAATAAGTTTGAAATATGCAACTCCTAAAATATCGTACTAATCGTACTTTTATCATTATATTATACCAAATTAAATTAGGTATTATTTTTTTTGATGTTAAATTTTATGCATAAATCATTGTCACAACTGTTATAATGAAAATAAAAATTAAAATTTTAATGCTTACCCGACAAATGTTATTAAGTTCATTGTGGCTATATTTGTGCATTATTTTAATTACAACCTGTTCATACCTGTTTGATGTATGTAAACTACCAAGAAAACACTGAAATTTTTTCAAATATTTTTAAAATATCGTAGACGTTTTAAAAACATTCGAAAATAAAACTTCTAAATAAAGAAAAAAAAAGAGTTTGCTTGCTAATTCTACAATAATCCAAGTTCATCCAAAACTGGTATTTAGTGAAATGAAATTATCGAACTGTCGTCAGCACTTTTTGAATTATATTTAATCGAGTATACAGTAAACCGTATTTCAACTCAATTTTATGTTGAATACGATAAAATATACCTTAGAATGAAATTAAAATTTCATTTCATTTATATGTTAACTGACTAGACAGTAGTACTATTGGTTACGGTAAAAATGTTGGTATTTTTCATGAAGGAATTAATTTTAAGTACGAAATATTAATTGTCAAAAAATGAGAAGTCATAAATTAGCGTCAATTTTAAGAAATAAATAAACTTAGTAGACTGATTTATGGATGAAATCATTTGACAATTATGATTTTTCTTGCCATCAAAAATTTATTAATTACATCTGCGCTTATCCCTTTTGCGATAAGATATTCTGTCTTGATGATATCATCCCGTTTTAGGAATAATCCGGACAAACTGTAATCATCCTTATCATCGATATTTGAATTAATAAAATGACGTAATATCACGCTTGTTCTTAATATTGCTGATAACACATTCATCTAAAAAGCAACTTCTCTGTAACAAATTAGATTAAAAATTAAAACTTTATCTTGATATCATTCAATAATTCAGTTTACTTACAGGACTTCGAATACATTTCTCAATTAATTTGGCCATAGAAGGTGCTAATGGATAGATGGAATTTTCAAAACTATATATTTCATTGAATTTTATAATCAATAAATGATATATTTTGTGTTCTTCAGACATTACTGAGAATCGAAAAATGTCATCATGTGTACGGGAAATAACATAATCGCCTAAAATAAATTCAGGTAAAGGTACAGGTGGTTGAAGAAAAGATCGAACTTTACTTTTTTCATATTAACCTTCTAATTATTCATTAAATTTGATCAAAAATTAAAATTTATTTTGCGAATATTATAGCAATTCTTCATTTTATATTTTTAAATGTTGGAAAAAAAATTTAATCCTTCTTTTTATTCGTATTACCTGGTTTCTTGAGTATTCGTACTTCGATAAACATTTCAGAAAGTCGTCCAAAATAGTTTTCTTCTAGTAGTTGTAATTCATCATTATAGCACTTATTTTCTTCACTCTGGATAATTGATAATAATTAATCAATCAATCAATCAATAACTGCATCTTTAATCATTTATAGCTACAATAGTATGAAAATTAGCTATAAAAGCTCAATTTTATAATTAAAGAAAAGTTAAAAAGTTAATTACAACAAATCCTCTGTAGGATTCATAGTATCTAATTCTATTATAAGAAGATTATTTGATTTCGATTTTCCCGAGAAAAGTATCTGATTCTGGTTCGCTACAGGAAGAACATTTGATTCTATTCTCCACAAATCCATGAGTATCTGATTCCGATTCTTCACAAAGAGTATCTGATTCCGATTCTTCATTTTCATTAGGGGTATTTTAATAATTAGTTCATTTATGTGAATATAAACACGCTGAATATATTGAATGACCATGATAGGATGCATCTCAAGTCCCATACTGGCAATCAATAGTTGAAGTTTCTCTATTGCGCCATCGATGGTAACTTCAGAAGAATTATTTCTTTTCTTTGGTTTTTTTCCTTTTGAAGTTTGAACTTCTAATTTTGTGATCTGCAAATTTGGCTAGGATTAAAGGTAATTTAGAAGTCATTTCATAGAACTCATTACTCTCTGTACCTGGATTGCTTCTTTTAAAAGCAACTAGCATGAGGTAATTACACTTCTAACATTAATTAGCACACAGTGCATGTGAACAATTACGTGATATTACGTGTAGAACAAGAGTGTTAATACTACCGTTCCCATTTTATACTCTCTCATATAAGCTAATTATCTTGGATGAATAATTTGTAAACAATGAATATCAATAATTGAATTGATTCTTTTCAATGCGATTAATAGGAAGAAATTTGAATTTCTTGAAAGATTGATATTTAAAGCGAATTGGTTTGCAATTAATTCCTTTTTTAAATATCATTGTAAGATTGATTGCACGAATAAATGAATGGTAAGAATTTTTTTTCTCTTGATGAGTAATTGAGTTTTTGCTCGTTTCCTTTTTTTTTTGGAATCACTTTCTAGCTTGAAATAATACTCAAAATTAGAATATATAAGTTAATTTTTAATCAATTAAATTACTCTCTTAATTTATTGGTTATTAAAATTGTTCAACAATATATAAATGATAACATTTGTTATCAAATGAAAAACAAAATTTGCAGTGAAATATAATGTTAATTCAATCGTTTTCCAATCATTCATCTAAGATTACATTTTTTTACTCTTTCAAAGTAATTCAATTCATGAGTTAATCACTACAGTAAGATCACAATCTGATATGATAACGATTGATCAAACGTATAATACAGTGATTCTGATGAATTTATACACTATTTTGATCCTTGTATCGTTGATCGATATATTAATGGTACTGTATATTTCAACACAAATTAGGCTAACACGCCTCAGGCAACGAAATTTACAAGTGATGTAATTTGCATTTATCGTTCCTGCTTAATTTGTCCATGATAATTACATATGTGTGATCATTTTTCCTAATAATAGTAATAATAATAATAATATATCTACAGACTTTCTCTTTTAACTTTACCTCTCTCTCAATTAATTTTCGGGAATAAAATTGGCCGAATGATAAGAGAGAGGAAGAGAGAGAGAGAGAGAAGAGGAAGAAGAAGAAGAAGAAGAAGAAGGAGAAATTTCTTTTACTAATTAGTCAACTTCATCATTGTTTTTCTAATTTCATTGCATAATTCATCCTCAAACATTTTTTCCATTTCTTTTAATTTTAATAAAATTTATTTTCTCCATTAACAACTGAAACGCACTTTAACTGTTGTTGACATTCTCGAAGTGCAAACTTTCAAAATTGTCAACAACATTCTTATGGTTTTTTTTCTTTTCTTGTTTTGAAATATTTGTTATCATATTTGGATATAATACAAAAATGATTGAAAAAAGAAGTAAAAACTTTTGACAAAAAGTTAATTTCGTTTTTTGATCGAAATATTAATTTTTATTTTAGCCTCCTGAAATTTTTTATAACTTAATTAAGATTAAAAGATGGAAATGCTTCTTAGAAATTGCCATCCATCAAATTTTATTCCATAAGATATTTTAAAAGATCAATTTAAGAGAAGCATAACATTTTTTCGGTAAAAAAAAAAGATCAGTTTTTTTTTCGTTCTTTCATTTCTCCCTGAAAGATTTTTTGTTAAATTTCAATCATTATTTGCTTTTGTTGAGAATTTAAAGAAAAAAATTTTTTTCCAATTAAATTTCATGAAATGATGAAAATTCTTCTTCTTAAAATTGCACAATTTCCTTTTTATCTCAAACATTTACCATACAATTATTTCAATAATAACACACAAATCGTTATGCTCTTTCTAAAATAAAGAATAAGACAGATTTTTTTTTTGCATAAATTTAAGCATTAAATATGAAAATTAACAAATAGCTAAATTGCAGTGCATATCAGAGCAAAGAATACAGCAATAATTATCAATATTAATTAAATTCACTTCTTTCAATGTATGGTTCAAATGTTGCCTTCATTCCATTACCTGAAATATTAGGCTTACCTTTTATGGATACATAACTATTCCTTTAAAAAAAATGCTTAGCAGTTAGCAATTATATGGTAATCGTTATTGTTTTTTTTTCTTGCTCTTGCCATTATCATTTAAGCCTAATGTAATTGGCTTAGGATACTTATTCAATTCATTCTTTATCTTCCGAATTTCAATGAAAAGAGCTCAATTGATTGAACATTTTTCCTTTTTTCCTTTTTTTTCTTGAGAAAAAACTATTTAATCTTTAATAGCCTTAAAAAGTTTCGTAATTTTAACATCCGAACCAAAATTTAAAATTTTTCTATTAAATTTAAAAGATTTCAAAGTACATTCTGTTAAGCAATTTTCAACAATTTATCTATACATAAATGAATCTATTTTAAATAAAAAGATAGAAACAATTCTTCGATTAATGCAACAAAATATATCATCCATTTGCAACAAAAGGCAGTTAATAATGAAAGTTAATTTTTCCTGATAAACAGAAAAAAAAAATTGTAAAAATTATTTTTTAAGAAAGGAAAAAAATATATGCAAATAAGTTTATTTCAATGAACACAAAAAAAAAGAAAGATACTTTTCAAGTAATTCGTTTTAATAAAATTCATTCATAGACAATGATACGCACCACACATAATCCTACTTCTACTTTAGCAATCCATTTAGGGCCTAAGGCTTCTGGCTCACTTTTTGAAATGTGTCAAATCTTTGTTTTACATTTCAACAACAATGAATAAATGCGCGCAAAAAAAAAAACGACTGCTTTTTTTTTTTGCAAAATTAGTAAAATTAAAATGTTTATGTAAAGAAAAGATTGAAAAAAAAGGGAGAAAACAAGAGAATGAATAGGAAATAATCCTAAAATCATATTTCGATAGGTTCTGATTTAGGACCATGTAGGCTTTGGAAGGTATAATGTTGATACCTTCGACATCCCATCACGCAAGCTGATAATAAACCAATAGTAGCACAGAGGAGTAGAATGACAAGAATTGTGATAACAATACGATTGATACCATCAACAGTACTTTGAATACGTCGTGTCGTATCATAATTATCATAGATCATTCCCAAGAAACCATTGATTAAAGCTTTTTGCTCCTCACGTGAATATGAATCAAAGCGTGACATAATGGCACGCGCCTCAGAGCGTGATAACGGCCCCGTGGCGATCTGTAATTTATATTTTTGAATTCCTTTCCTAAATTATTTGGAACAAATTTTTCATTTAATTTAAATTTAGATTTATTTAAAAATCTTTTGGTAAAGTGAAACAGTTCCAAAGAAAGATGCTAATAAATGAGGAGGAAAATGGTAGAGAATTATTATATTTCCGTACTTACTACCGTTTCCTTTTGCTATAACAAATGTGATCCTGATGATTGCATTTTTTTTTTGAAAATTTGAAATCTTTTGTTAAAAATGGTATTTTCATTGACCAGAAATTAAGTAATTAAAATCAAAATTATTATATTTCATCAAATTACACCTTTTGCCATACTTTCAATTAACATTTTAGTAGATTTCAGGAGAGGATGAAGACATAAGAAATGAAATAATTATGTACAAGTTAATTAAAATGTAAATTATGATAGATAGTATTTCTTTTAACATAAGAATTTCCCTTCTCTTTTCAAAAATAACTCTGTCACCATAATACGACAATTAGACAGGTTCTTTGATGAGTAAAATGATAGGATTATTTTGGATCATAATTAATATTTCTAAATGAATGGGATGAGTCATTTCTTCTTTTAAATAATTATTTCTGGTTAAGAAGATTACTACTGCAAAACTATTTCTTTGGTTATAAAATGATGGAACGATCGTAGCTTCTTTTATCCAAAAATGATCAGTTAAATTTAGCAATTTTTTAGTTGATATTAGCTTTCAAACTAAATAAGATATTAGATTATCATTGATCTCGTTTAATCTGATAATTTTAAGACCAGATATTATCCTAATCAAATGATGATGTTTATCATGAAAGTTATTGTTGCATATTGATTCTTTAAGAAATGCATACAACGTTTTAATTAAGCTAATTAAGCTATCAGTGATTAGTAAAGACTATAAATGACATTTTTGATTTGACGCTAATTAAAAAGTACAAGTGAATGTTTAATTTAAACAAAAAGCAAGTTGACATCATAAATTGATTTCACTTATTATGTCGAAATTTCTCGCTTTGAATTTATGAAATTTTCACATTTTTATTGGTAATAATAATGTCCTGTAATTGTTACTGAAGAAGGAATTAATTTCTTTAATTATAAAAGCTAACAAAGCTATTCCAATTCACTATTATTTTCACTGAATCGTAAATAATTTATCGCATTTTGTCATTCCTAAATTCTAATGAAATTGTTTGAGATAGCGAATTAAATTAAATTCAAATTCTTGAAATCAGGTACGAATAATTTTAGGACAAAATAGCTAGATTAGTTACAACTATTTTCCTTGGCTAATGATTATCAAAAGGGAATAGATTAACAAATTAATCCAATCTATCCATCATTGATCAAATCATTGGCTAGATGAAAGAAAGAACTGAATTGAGTTGAATTAAGTTAATTTAATACTTTATTTATGTTTTACAAAAAAAATTTAGTGCTATATGACAGTCAAATTTTTTCATTTAAAGATTATAGTCATTCAGATTAATCATCATTCAATTCAAAATATCAACAAATTTCAAAAAAAAAATGGAAGATTTTCAATGATTAATTTAAATATTTATCAAAAATATTTCCCTATCAAATCAATATGAATAATTTAAAAATTTAACAGATAAAAATGAAGGAAAGCATTTCTTTTCTTTTCTTTTTTTTTATAAATGAATTATTTGTTTTAGAGATTTAATGACAATATTAGCAATTTAGAATGACATAACAATCAGAAACACTAATTGAATAAGTAATCTGTAATGACAATCCTAGTAGTTAAGCCTATAAGGATGTTCTTTTTCCTAACAACAATTTTAAGGATAGGACAACATCGAGACTGATGATGTCACGCATTTTTAAAAAATCAATGACAATGAGTTTGCAAGACATGGAAAGATAATGGACAAAAAATCCGATACAAATGGAGAAATGACCATTGGTCATCAAAATTAAGCACAGCAATGGTATTGTAAAGCTTATTAGTTTTTTGTAGATCAGTTAAAATAAATGAGCCAAGAGAAATTATCCGATTATATCATTCATTTTTATTTTTAAAGGCATTGTTTGGAATGTCAAAAAAATTTCCAGAAATGAAATTGTGCCAAGTTTTACCAATAGATGAAATAAATTGTAAAATTTAAGAGTAAAAATAAGCATGTTCAAAGAAGTGAAGTTCAGTCTTCAGGCTCATTTCATTTCTTCAGGCTCATTTCGTCTTCTTCGTTCGATACTTATCAAATAAATTTAAATTTTTTTCTTTTTTTTTCATCCATTGTCATCTCACCGATGAGTTCTTCTTTTATTTCGAAAATTTCAGATTACTGAAATCGATTTCGAATAAGAATGACTTCCAAACAAATTTTGTTTTTCTTTTAAAATAAAAACTAAACGAATTGGTGACAATTTTCATTGAAAATCATCTTGGAACATTATAAATCAAATTAAAATCTTCAAGCTTTCTGCTATCCTACCAATATCATCCATTTATGTTTATTCATTCAATTGCCATTTGTATCTATGCAATTTTCAATCTGTTCAGAGATGAATTACTCTTTTATAAAGGTTAAAGGAGGTCAAGATTAAAAGCTGATAAATTTGTGTTGGACAAGTCTGGTACCACTACATTTTCTTTCTCTATGAATACATGTAATTTTGAAATGAATCAATAACTTGAAGAAACTTTTTAGGATATTGTCATCAGAACTTCTCATCTTTTATTGTCCTGAAGTGATTGTTTTAATTTTTGAAGTTTATGAAACTCTTCATTGGTTGCTAAAATTTGTCATATTAAACAAAATGAAATTTAATCAATAATTTCAAGAGAAAAAAAATGACAAATGATGGGGAAGAGTAAAAGTAAAAGCTTAGATAAAAAAATATTTGTCGTCCATGCATCAAAATGAATTACTAACTTCTAATTTAATTTCTATTTGTACAGAAAAATTTGCATAAATTTATTTTTAGGAAGTTGAATTATTGAAAAAAAAAGAAAAAAAAGTCGTTAAGGCAGAAAGGAAAAGTGATGTATGAATAAAAAGCATAAAAAGCGTAAATTTAAAAATGTTTTAAAAGAATTCTGTGACAGAGATGTTTATGAGAAATTGCAAATGGACAAGACATCATTTCGTAATGTCTACGTTGTCTTTTCATCATGAAAATTTTATTTTCAAACTTTTAATTTGCATAAAAACCGCGAAAATGTTGCAGGTAATCCTTAATGAAATGACAGGTACATCAGAAAAAAATAACTCAAATGAATGTATTCTTTTAATTTTTTTTTGAAAGAAAAGGACAACAAGGAATTATTTGTGTTTTTTGCAAGTATTAGTGCATGTTAAGAATATAAACTGAAAATAAAATTGGTAAATTTTTAATTTCGATAGTAATCTTTTCAGTGAGAAAAGTTTAAAAATGAATGCAGTCAAATTTGCATATTTAAAGTTTAAAAATGAATGAATACCATTTAAAGTTATAAAATGCATTGGTATAAATTGTTGTTGAAATGATCATTTGAAGAGGATAACAGATGTAATTAAAAATGAAAATAAAAAAAAAACAATGATCTTCTTATTTGGAAAAGTTTGAAGCACTGCTAATTGCTAACGAAATTTGCGAAATAATTTTTCTGATATAAAAAGTCTCTTTTTTTTCTTTTAACATTTCTTTTGGTGACAATTAAAGCATTTAAGGAAGAAGAAAAAGAGAGAATGAAACTTATGCAATTTAATTCAGATGACAAATAAAATTTATGAAAAAAAGTTTTTTTAAAGAAAAACTTTTCGAAATAATTTATTTGAAGAATGAAATGTATGAACAAAAAAATATATATACAAAATTATTCACAATTTGTAATTGATGAAAAAATTTATTTAACATTTAAATCAATCATTAAATGATTCAATGATTGGAATATGAAATTCATTCCGAAAAACTAAATGAATTTAATGATGAATTGGAAGAAATGAAATGAGTTGAGAGGAAAAGAATTTAATAAGGATTAAAAGTCGATATTAAATATAACCTTTCTTATGAAGAAAGCAGCTTGTGGGATGCAAATCGGTGAATGCGGAAAACAATCCGTTTTTCCGAATGTGCAATTTTTAATGCTTATAAAAACTGCAAAGTTTAACGTTCAATATCGTTAACTTGTCCGGCTAACATCTGCAAGCATATGAATAGCCAATAGACGTCAAATAATACTTGCATACTTGCCGATTATTTCATTGTAAAATCTGTAATTAACACTAATCTTTGTATGCAAATTTTTAATTAGCGCCCATATTTTAGTTTTTTTTTNTTTTTTTTTTTTTTTTTTTTGATACTTCAATTTTATTAGCATATACTTTTGAAAGTAAAAGTGCAATACGAATGATATCAAATCCAAAAAACATTATACGACAGACATCAGAAATGCCTATTTAATTTGTCTTCCAAATGAATTCGATGGAAAAATAAAACATTTAAAAGAATTGTTAATTAATAAAATGACAAATTAATTAATGATTGAAATGAAATAAAATAATAAAATTATTTTATGGAAACAAAGAAAGCGCTAAGTTCTTTTTTTTTTTTGTTCGAAATGAAAGTGATGGAAAGTAATGGAAGAAAAATGAAAAATACTTAGTGAAAATGATTAACATTTAAAGAAACAAATTCATTTACAATTCAAATATTACATTGAAATTATCAAAAAGTTAGAAAATTTCTTTCATTTTTTTAAAAAAAAAGTTGTTATCAATAATTAATTTCATCTAATTAATCAAATAAGAATATTTGTGATACATTATGATTAGCTTTAACCATATGTTAGTTATACAAAATCTTCAAATTTAATGTATTTTATTATCATAAATAGATATAGCAATCAAAAAAAAAAAAGCAAAAAATAATTTGACAATTCAGTCAAAAACATTTTTAGCATATAAACATGTATAAAAAGACGACAAATATTTAGCTTAAATTGCATGAAATGCATTTTTTTTTTTTTTTGCCAACTAAATGCTTCAAAAACATTCAACAAAATTTATTCCAAAAATAAAAAAAAAAGGAGAAAAGATTAGTTAATCTATTGAGAATATTGTAGAGATTTAGTTAGCTTATTGATAATATCACTGACAATGCTAAATATCATTAATTGCATCATAACATTTAAAGTGCTTTCACGAAAGAGTTATAATTATGATCGTTAGGTAATTAAATCGATTCAGAAGCAGAAAATTTATAATTTCCATAATTCGGATTAATTAATATCATCCGATTACTATCAATTAATTAATATCTTTCTTTTCTTTTTTTTTTGGCTTAATTATTCAGAATCCATGGGAATCGCTGAATTTTTCAAGTATTTTCAGTTGTTGATAAACAAAGTTTTTTTGTTTTAAATAAATCACTTAATTTAATTAAATTTTTATCAAAATATGAAGAAATTACTTCTTTTTTTACTTCTTTAAAGAAATAAGTTTAAATGAAACTTCATTGCAACACCTCCTATTGGCTGTCGAAAAGACCAATAAACAGGTTTGTAAATGAGATTCAGGATGATCAGATGATCTGTTATATATTTCAAGTTATGTCACTGTCATATGACCAGAACCTTATATTGGTTGGGATTGAAAATACTTTAAAGATAAGGTTACTTAAGCACAGCTGAATAGTTTTTTAATTTTTTAAAAAAAAATTCAAAGATTTGGTGTTCGTAAAAACGATGAATACCTAAATGATGTCTAAGTGAGTAAAAGAAGAAATTTAATTTAGAATTTAATTTATACGTTCTGTCATTGGTTTTATTGATTTTTTGTTTTTAACATATTTGAATTTGAATTTAAAATTAAACAGAATTGAAAAGTTATTTTATATCATATTTTTACATAAATTTACTGATAAAAATGAATGCAAACTTGCTTGCATTATGAATTCAATGAAAAGTTTAAACGTCAATTTGTTGAAAAAAAAAAGGAAGAGAAAAAAGAAAGATGAATGATTTAGTGGTTAAATGAGAAAAAATAAAACAGACAAAGTTTTTTTTTCTTTTTTTTTTTTGAAATCAGTAGAGATTTGATGAAGTTTTTTTGGTCAATCAAAAAAGAGGATTGGATAAGTGAGAAGCACCATAAGAGGATAGGCCAAAAGAGCCAAAGGAAGGTGAATTGGGCCAAAAAGTGCAGCACATAAATAAACAGCCAGAAAATTTGAGCAAAGAACTTGCTTTTTCAGAAAAGTTCAGCTGTATGTCCTTTTCGGATGTCCTCCATCATCCATTTCCTCATCCATCATTGCTGAAGAGAAGAAATGAAAAATGCTACCCTACGACATAACCAGACAATCACATTCACTTTCGCATTTGTGATCGAGAGTAGCAGATACTACTGATGGAAAAAAAAAAATGCTAGAATAACAAGGAAATGCGGGGAGACGGGGAGGCGGGGAGAATCTTAGTTAGACTTAGATTGATCTTTCAGCAAAGCTTAAAAGATAACATACATACATATACCGACATAAACAAGAAAGTGACAAATGAGGGGGTAGGATTATATGCAAAATAGTTTGCTAAAGGTTTAATTGGAAATACTGAAAAGGGCAAGAAGAAGAAGTCAGCTGTTGGTGACACAAGAAAGGAGACATGTTCATTAGAATGTTGATAAGGATGCGACATTTTTGGAGCCCAAGAATTGGTTTTTAATTCAGTAATTGTAATCACTTAAGAAGGATTGGTGACAGTTATTTAAGCAATCAAATGATTAAATAATAATTTGGTAATTCATATTGCAATTACCTCAAATATCCTACAAATGCTTCAATTATTTCTTCATCCAATTTTCATATTTTAATTTATATCCACAATTAGAAATTCAAACATTTCTTATTTAACAATAACTGATGAATTAGTTGTGGACAAAAGCTATGACATGACCATAACAATCAGGTCATCAGATTTCCTAAAAGTGCCATAACAATCAGGTCATCAGATTTCTAAAAATAAATTTAGCTATGGCTCTTGTCCTTTTGATGAATCTCATATTATATTATTTGAATTTATGTCTACAATTTATGCTTGTTTATTTCTTTTATTTTTTAAAAATTTAACACATTTTTACATTTTACAAATTAAATTTGCAAATAACAGTAGTAATTATGATATGTGAAAGATACAGTAAGATATATTACAATTGTAAAGATTAGAGAAGAAACAGACAATGAATCTTCAAATTTAACAAATTAAATGTCCTGTGGACAGAATAGAAATCTGGTTGATACATCTGGAAGCATTTGTTCAACACGATATGATATCATTTAATGACATCTGCCATATCATATCATATCATTTCTTTGATATTTCTCTCTTCCATATGTTCTTCAGCGCATATTAAATAATATATTTGAAGGTATTACTACGTAAAACACTTCTTCATAGTTTAGTGATACAACGACAAAATTACATTTGTAATTATTACAAATGATGCATAACTCATCACTGATAACTTACAATATCAGTCACTTTTTGCATAATTTTTTTTTCGAAAGAGTAAAGATTAGTGATAAGATAATAGCTTTGAATAATAATCATAAAAAAAAAGTTGCAATATATTGAAAGGAACAAAGTACATTCAAATTCGATGATATATCACGAAACATTGAATAATATTCGTCATTTTTTATCTCATAATTGGTGTGCTATTGCTAGATGGAATATGAATTTCTAACTTTACGTGAAAATATACGTCATACACGTGAAAAAAAAGAAGTGAAAGTGCGAGTATTTTTATTGTTCAATATTTCTCGTCTTTTTTTTTCGAATTAAACAGTTATTTGTTTTAATGGATAGCAAATAGATGATAGATCGGTATTTAGAATAATGGTTTTAAACTGTTTGTAATATTTCAAAAACTTTCATTAATAGGTAATGAAATGTGTAATCGGCATTAGAACAACTATTAAGCAAATGGTAATTACCGTAGTACTTTTAATGCAGATTTTTTTGCATGAAATATGCATAAAATAAAATGGGTTTGCTATTGTTATCTCAATTTTATTTACAGTAATATTCATTTGCAGTAATTAGGTGATCAATTTCACTTACGGTAATATTCGAAATCCGTTTACTTCCTGGTCTGATTTACCTGAAATTCATGCTTAACAAATAAGTTCAGCAAGTCTTTCAATTCATCAAATAGTTATTTCTTGCTTGAATTGTTGCATATGAGGCAAAATAATTACTACAAGCATTCATTACATTTTCTGGGACAAAAAGATTGCGAAATAAATTTGTTTAAGAATAAGCTGATGAGAGTTGTAATTAGTTTAAAATTAAGTTAATTAATATGAATGAACCCGTCTAGATGCCCACTGTTTTCAGTACAAGATAAAGATATTAATAAGATGATTAGACATGTCAGGTCACACTGTTTTACACTTCCATTTCCGTCCATTGTTTCCAGTATAAGATTAATTATCCAATCCTGTTCTATCCCAATACACTAAACTTTAATGATGTTGACAATGTTTTGCACAAATAATCTTGACAAGCAATTTCGCTCTTTAAAATCTTCCAATCAGGATGAAATGGTTTTTTTTTCTCGCTTTAAATTTGTTTGGCCAAACTTTAAATCTGCTTGGCCGAAATACGTCCTCAATCAATCTGTCAAGCCAAAATATGTCTTTAATCAATTTGTTAGGCTAAAACATATCCTCAGTTTGTTCTCAAAGCATTCAATTCTCATATGGGGATAAAATAGAATTGATTAGGAATGAGTTTCGGCTGATAGCAATTTACAAATGAACAAAAAACATCGAGGTTTTGAAAATTTAACACAATTCCGGAAAAGAAAGGAATTTGTTTCGGTTTTTACCGGATATTAAAAATGAATTACGGATATATTTCTTTATAGAAAAGAAAGTAGCATAACTAGTCTAGGAAGTATTTATGATCGGAATATTCGGTACAGCAGTCTAGATTTGCATATATTACATTTATCTAACAACGAATAAGCAAGCGTCATTATTTACCTGATCAGTTTCAGAATATTTCCGAAAGTAGTCAGTTGTTGAAATATTCGAAGGAATTTACAGGATAAAGAAAAAAGGAAAAAAGGATCAATATCATTCATTTTGGCTACAGTAATCCAAGTTATTGAAATAGTAAATTAATGAAATGGTAAGATAGGGAAGTTAGTAAAGTTCTTCCAAATTACCTTTCATTCTCTACCTTTCAAAGAATCCAACAATTCATCTATCTCTTTTATCAACAAACTAATGAAGAGTATTAAAGGGAGTGAAATGGGAAAAATTGATGATCTTTGTAATTCTCATTTACTAGATTGAATATTTGAATTTTTAATTAATAAACAATTAAGTTAATTTCATTAATGTTAGCACAATTTTCCTGGCATATCACTGTTAATCATTGCAAACGGTTAATTTCCTTCGATTATAGAATGCTATAATAACAATTAAATTGGATATACGAAAAGCTTCTTTTAGAATAATCGTTCGGTTTATTAAAATTAATTCAAAATTCAAAAAAAAAGAAAAGAGAAATGAAATGGAAAGAATTCATAAAATGCTTCACATATCACTTTATGATATTTTTTAGTAAAATATAAAAATATTATTTAAATGAAGCAATCACTTCCAAATGGTATATATGCTATGAATAGAATTATGTTAAATACTTCTTAAATATATCGTAAATATATCGAATTTTTCATTTCATTGTCATCAAAGGGAGAGAGAGAGAGAGAGAGAGAGAGAGGAGGAGAGAAGAA